AGGCGAGGTATGAGAGGTCTAAAATATTATTGCTACTAGAGTGTTTCTTTATACATGTATTTTTGTAATTTCCCCACCATTTATATGGACATTCTTTTTGATGCAGATTAGGCAGTAATAAGTAAAAGTTTATTTCATCAGTTCTAAAAGAAAAGTAAATAAAAAATATAAAAACTAAACTATTATATAAAGTACTAATTTTTATTAAAGTTGTTAAATATTAGTGAATATTAGTAATATTATTTTATTTCTATAACTATAATTTATATAATAGTTTATAATAATTTAGATCTTAGTTTTATCTATAATAATTTATTATAAATTAGACAAGAACAAAATGTTATCAAAGTTCTTATTTAAAAAAACCATTTTAACTTACATTTTTTCCTTTTTCTCTAAATAAATTTGTGCCTCTGTTGAAAGTTTTTTACAGTTCTTTACTTTTGTTGATTTTGCTAATTCAGTGTCAAGAAGTGATTTTGAAACTTGAAAAAAATTGTATATGTTTTCTGCCATTTTTAAATTTTTGAGTGGAAAGCTAGGTTCTTCGGTTGATTCAGATGAAGTGTTTGTTTCATTATCTGAACGAGTTAAGTTGTCGCTAGTTAAAATGCAACCTGTAATATCAGTTTTATTTAGGTTCATGTATTTCTCTTGAATATTTGTTTTTATTGTGTCTTTCTCCTCATCTGATATGGTATAACTAAGTTTATATTTCCATTTTGTTACTACATCTTGTATAAGTGATTGTTGGGGTAACTTTAGCTGTTGGTGAATTTTATGTCGCATATACATGGAAGACGAAGAATGGTAAAAGTGTGGGACAATTTTTCTAGACTTAGCTATAAGATCATTTACAATTGTTTGCTGCTTAAAAAGCATATCGGTTATACAAAGCTGAAGATTGTGGATTACACAACTAAGAGAATTTTTTTCCAGCTTCTTTTATGGCTAAAGTACACTGTTAGTTGGTATTTTCCATTCATTTAAAGAGTCTTTTAAAATTTTGATATCTTTACATCTGTATGAGAGCCTGTTATTTTTTTAAGTTGTAGCACAGCTGTCATAGAATTAAACTCTGAGTTTATCCAGTGTGTGTTAATGAATAAAAGCTTAGAAATTGTGATGAGTAGTCCATCGTCAATGGTAAACCTCAAAAAATCGGCTTTTGCTACATCATTAAAAATTTGTATTTTCATTTTTTCATAAATTAAAGTAACAACTGTTTCAGTCATATGTTTTCTAGAGGCCATTGTATACCTTTGTTCAAGATGCATAATTAGTTTTTTAAAACCTTGATCTGTAACTAAAGAATACGGCTGAATGTCTACACATATCATTTCTCCGATAAGCATAGTTATTTTTTGAGCTCTTTGTTCACTTGAAGTCCATTTCTTATGCTTATAAATAGTTTCCTCAAGCTTAGATTGATGTTTTTGATCTAGAATAACTGTAACACTATTGCTAACGGATACTTTGCTATTATCATTATCTTTAGTGGATGAAGTAGATGCAATAGCATAGCTTTTTTTTTCTGTGTTAATTTTTTTGAAACATTTTAGATTATCTACTTTCTGGAAAACTTTTATATGTTTTGCTTTCATATGCCTTCCTAAATTAGATGTTGTCATTTTTTTGCCACATGTTCCTCCTCTTGATATTTTCATTTTGCAAAATTTACAAATTGCTTTTGAGCGTCGCTTTACTCATTGTTACTTTATTTCTAATTTAATTCTATCTCTAAGTTTAATGTTTAACAGGTACGTTAAAAAAGAAAAGTTTTTATTTCATCGCGCGTTATTTTTATAACAGAGTAGAACAAAAGAGAAAGAAAAGTTTTGAAATTTTGAAATACTCTAACTTCGGTCATTCATGGAAAAACAACGAAGAAATTTGCACAAATGTTGTAAAATGTTAGTATGTTAAAAATTTGACTTAGTGAATATGAACTTGTGTTGTAATCGCGTAAGTTTACAGATAACTTTACCTGTAAACTTACTAGTAAGTTTTGACATTTTTATAATGGACACTCACTAGGGTATTTTATTTGAATAAAGAATTTGTATATAATTTTAAAGTTACCCTGTTTTAAAACAAAATTTACTGGTCAATTGAAGGTAAATTTTGATTTCAAAAAATACTGGTAAATTTAAATCACTGATTATGAAGTAATTACAAAACAATAATTTGCAATATATTGCAACGCATTGAAATAGTTTTTTGTCAAGTTAATACATCTATGTCATCTATACGTGAAAAAGCTCGGATGGCTCGTAGTTTGAAGGCTGTGGATAAAAGTATGAGTAAAAGGAAAGCAGCTATAACGTTTGGCTTTAAAAGATCAACTTTCATTGACAGAAGTAACAACAAACATACTAAAAAAATGGCAAACCAACTAAGTTGAGCGAAAACATCGAAGATATTTTATTAAAAATTTTAATATTTATGAGTAATATTGGTTTTAGTTTGACTAGACTTGAAATACTGTGTGTTGATAACAACTATTTGGTTAATTCAAATCAAATGTATTTTAACGGCGGCGAAGTTACATTTGCCTGGTATTATTAGACGTCATTGTGAAGAGCTATCGCTCCGAACTTCAAATGATATGCCGTCAAACCACGCAATGTTGACTCAGCCAGACCTATTGATTGATGTTGTTTATTAAAATTATATGTTTATATGTAAATATATTTCATATTTAATTGTTATTTAATAAAATAAAAAAATACAATTTTTAAACGGTAAATTTTAATTTGATTGTAATGTTTACAAATTGTCCTTTTTTTATAAACTGCTCAATTTATAACATTTTAATAATCTACTTTATAATTTTTTTTTTTTCTTAAATCAAGGTTTGCACAAGTGTCTGATATGTACAATATACATGGATTCGCAACAAGCCGTTCCACATTTTTAATTGTGATGAATCTGGTCTTCAATGTGATCAAGGCAATTTTAAGGTTTTACTTTGCAGTAGCAACAAAAAGGCTTCAGTCACAATACTCGTTTGTTGTGATGCTTCTGGAACATTTTTGCCTGTTTATGTTTTATTCCACGATCAAAGATATTTATGATGAATTTGGGTATGCATTTTAAAAAGGAATTTAAAACAGATGTGCCAATAATCCGGAAAACTCTGCATTTTAAAAACTTTAGCATTTTGAAATTTTAGATTGATGTCCAAATGGCTTCTAACTCAGGGCGAGCCTAACAGTGCTACTTTTGGTGTCACACAATCTGGCTGGATGGAAAGACCTGCTTTTGCTGGATGGTTTTAAAAGACATTTGTACAATATTGTCGCAAGCTTAAAGGATCCAAAGTCCTTTCTCTAGGTGGTCATGCCTCACATGTAACGCTGGAACGAATTCACTAAGCAAATAAGGAGAACATTATTATTTTTAAGCTACTGGCTCTTACATCTCACGTGCTACAGCCACTTAATGTAGGCGTGTTTAGGACGGTGAAAAGTAAAATCTTTCAAAACGGTTTTAAAGATCTCACAAAACTTAGGTATCCTGGGTTGCTCAAACAGCTTAGTTACCAAGGCTTCTTGAGCAACATTGTGCGTTCAGGCTTCGAAGCAACTGCTATTTTTCATTTGTGTCGGGAGAAAATGATTAATGAAAAGTTAGCTATTTGATTGATTTTTGCGCAAAGTACTCAAGCCTTACCAACACTGCCTAAACCTATAACCATAATTCCAGGAACTCCTTCAAGTGTTTAAAAGCATAGAAGTTCATGCACACAAACTTCTTCGAGCTCATTAAAACAAATTTAACATGCTGCACAACTGCTTGTGAGCATATAAAGACATTTTAAATGCTTTACATGTTGGCTTGCCCAAAGTTTCCGTATCAAAGAATCAAAGCTAACTGCTTCTAATAATAACATGCGCCACATGAAAAGTTACATTATGACTTCAGAACATGCTTTGTTAGAACTTACAAATGAGCAAACAATGGTAAAAAATGCTTGTGAGCATTTAAAAACATCAATTGTAATTACATGTTGGCTTGCCCAAAGCTTCCGTATCAGAGTCAAAGCTAAATGTTTTTAATAATAACATGCGCCTTAATTATTAAGCTGCAGCTTAATAACTAAGGATGCGTTGACAATTCCTGTGACAATCTGATCATGGATGGATTTTGCCGTTCTAATTTGGTGAATGATATGTGCAAGAATTGCCAATAAACTAGTATTTTTTTATAAAAATAAAAATTTCAACTTTATAGAAAAATATCTTTTTATTTTATTAACCAGCAGCGTAGCGAACGTAGCACATAGATGCTCAACGCTTAAGTAACCGAACTTAGGCGATTTTACGGTATATGTATTTTTTACGTGTAATTGTAAAAAATACAATTGTGGTTTTCATTACACCACAATGTAATTTTCATTACATTGTGGTGTAATGAAAAAGTGTAATTTAACGATGTAACGTAATTTTTTATTTATATTCATATTTTAAAGGAAATGGGCAATGAGTCTAATTTAGTCTTCTTTTTTCCCTAGCCGCCTATTCATATTTTATAATATATATTTTTGTAAGTTTTTTCTTTATGGTGACATACATAATAGTTGTAGAAATAATAATAACAATAATAATAATAATAATAATAATAGCAATAATAATAATAATAATAATAATAATAATAATAATAATAATAATAATAGTAATATTAACCATCAAATTCATTATTATTAGAAACATTTTCAATAAAAAAATAACATCCCTATAATCCTCAAAAAAAAACTTTTACTTTATCTGGCAAAACCTCGAACATGTATCGAACATGTATCGAACATGTATCACACATGTATAAATGTATAACATGTATCAAACATGTATCGAATATGTATAAACAAATATAAACATGTATAAATCTAAAAAACAATACAACAAGCTCCTTAATAATACAATTACTTCCACATATAAAAACGTTAACCATAAACTAAAAAATTAAGTGTATAAACAAGGTAAAAAAAATTTAGTTACCCATGATGTCTATAAAAAAATCGAAGTTGTAATTATTTCTCTCTGAAGGACCACAAAGAAAACTTTTAAACAAATCCACTGTTCAACTTATAAATCCTGTTAAAAATAAATTTTAACAAATATTATTTCTAAACTGAAAAACAAACAATTTTTGAATCAATGCCAAAATATTCAAATGCAAAAGAAAAAAAAATTCTTTATATAGTCTTTATAAATATTGTATTTATAAATACAGACTAAATATAGTGTTTAATGTTAATGACTTTCATCCAACATTTAATGAAAATATACAAAGGGATTGTTCATAAAATTCGTACTCTCGGAGAGGGGAGGGGGAATCTGCAAACGGCATTCAGAAGATGGGAGATTAACTTTAATGGTACGGAGACACTAAATATCATAAAATATTGCATAGATAGGTTAAAAGTGTAAATACTTTTGGGGAGGTCGAGGGTACTCAAAAAAGCCTGTAGCTAAATGCGGGGTTGATGGAGGGGGGGGGCAGGAGGGTCAATAAATAAAAGCATACGAACTCTATGGACGACCCCTAAGCAACGCAATAAGTTTTGCAAAATAATGCATAAAAATAAACTGTAAGCAAAATAAAAGTTATTATTTAAATAAGATTATTTTATTTCATTTTTGTGCATTTAATGGTGCTGAGATTATCGATATTTTTTTTTTTTTTTAATTGTTATTTAGGTGCCCCAAGAACGGTCTTGTCACAGAGCACCGCGGAAGTACATTTAACTAGGAAGTTCACGCCTTCTTCTTTACCGTGACGCAAAAAAATGTTCGAGGCTCGTTTCGAACCTGGACCTCTTGCTTATAAAGCAAGGATAATGAATATACAGAAACGATGGTTTATCCATGTTTAATAATAAAATTGGTAGGTAAAAGATTCTTTTCTTTTACCTACCAATTTTTTCAAAACGCTTCAAAAATATCCTTGAACATTTAAACTTGCATACCATTTAATTATAAAAACATGCACATAACAATCAAACACTACCCTTTTCAATGCAAATGTTATAACAATAAAAAGCAAATGCTTTTTTGAACTTCATTGACGTCAACTTTCCAGTTAACTACAGACGACTTGGGAAGAAATGGCACGCTTTCACTGACCTCCCTAATATATATATTTTTTTCTTTACAATTAGACAATGGCTGTTTTAATGTTTTAACAATAGATCTGTTGCCAGTTAAACCGCATGCTTTTTGCCGCAACGCATTCTGGATCTTTTTAAGGGGTAAATGAAAAGAGTGCTTTTATAGCAAATGCTGAGATAAAAACAACTGTTGTTACTTGTAATAAAAATTTAAATACCAAACTAAAATGTTAGCTTTTAGTAAAAAAAAAAAGAATAAATAGAGATTATTGTGCCGTTTTTGGATGCCGCAACTATTGGAGAAACAAAGAAGAAAAGTAAGCTTAGCATATTATAAAGTTACTCAGTTACTCGGAAGCAAAATTAAACTTGTTACCCAGAATGTTTTAAGCCTTTTGAAGATAATGAGGTCTCAATACTAGACTGCAAAGAAGGTCAATGTAAGCAACCAAGTATCGCCAAAGCACAAACTCAAACATATTCGAGTTACAAAAATTGAAACACTTGGATAAAAGCTTATAAAATAAAGAAAAAAAAAAGGCATAGCACCCTCCGGAAATATTAATTATGTATCTCAAGCATACGGTGGTTCATCTACATTTTGATATATTGTCGAAACATAAGGTTACCTTAAAAAATTGAATGAAGAAGATGTTATAATGGTGATTAAAGGAAAATCAATGATGTTTTAATTGTAAGGAAAGTTAAGTTAGTAATACTACCATTTCTTAAAAGCAAAGAGAAGTTTACCAGTAAGTTAACTTCTAAAACTGCGTGCAATTGCTCGCGTAAACGACTTTAGATTGCTGAGTATAATTGATTTGCTAGACCATATCTTTATTATAATTACAGCTATTACAAATTTAACACCTCCATTAGTTGATTACAAGAATCATAACAATATTTAAATTACAAGACATTTTAAAACATTTAAATATATTTCTTGTCTAATTAATTAAAATAAATGTAACTAACAAAAATATTTTTAGCTTACAGCCTTTATTTTGACATTTAGTAATATTAAATATTATGAAATAAAAAAATCAATTTCCTCGTCAACTTTATTATTGTCACAAATTTTGAATAAAGTTTCATTCAAAAAAGACTCTATTGAAAACTATTGAAGGGAAACTAATTTCAATAAAAATAAATAGTTAAATGAAATCTATTAAATGAAGGCATTTCTCTTAGAGATCCCTTCATTTGTCATATAAGGCAAGATCATAGTTTTGTAAAATTATTCAATTTTTTTAATACAACTTTGCCAAAAATCAATTGAAAAATGAACACGATAACTATATAAGTCTTTTGAAGTTCCAACACCTAAATATGAAAAATATGAAATATGAAATATGATAAATACAATATGAAAAACCTGTTCAAGCCATTTGACACTGCATTTGACTATAATAAGAATGTTAAGGATCAAGTACAATTGTATTTTTTTCAAATATCAAACATGTCCCTTTGATAGTGGCTTATTCTGGAACGGTTAAACCTTTATGAGTCCAAGGCCATTTAACCTCTACACATCCAGTGCCACAACAATGACAGTGAATCAGGTGAAACACTAACTATTGGTAAATCTTTATTTATAAATAAACTACACTAACTTTCATAAACCTATGATTTTTTTAATATTTTTCTAAGTATACTTCAAGTACATCTTTTTCATGGCATAATCCCCAGGAGTAGCTTTTGTTTTAAAAACTTTTAACTTACATAATACATAACTAATAATGGATTTTATTTTTTCTAGACATAAAATCTCTAGGTCATTATTTACTTTACGAACAACACTATAAACTTTTAATGCAATGACTCTGCCTTTGCGGTGTTTATGCCATTCATGACAACATGACTGCTTTCTTGTTAAGTGTTCTAGTTCAGAAATTTTGTCAAAAATTGTAGTTAACTGCATCAATAAAAATTTATAATTAATCTTACGATCTAAATAAGTTACAATTTCATTAGTTGTTTTAGCGAGAGATGGATTCAAGGAAGTATTAACTTCGATTTCTTGAACAACATTGGAAATATCAGGCATAGGAACAACAATTTTTGTTTGCATAAGCATGACATATCCAGAATTATAATTTGTTATTTAAGCCAAAGAATCTAAATCTTCCTTTGTCATGGAAACTTGTCGTTGATTTGTGGATCGTGGATCAAAATTTGAATGATTTGAAATTTTTTTTTTGTAAACACTAAGGTATCTTTTATTAGAGGTTTTACTATTTCAATTTCACTAAGCATTGATGGTCCATAACGTTTTTGAACTTTTTTTGTTGGTTTGAGCCATTCGAGAGGTTTCGATGTACATGTTTTATTGTCACCAATCTTTGCACTATGTTCAACATACCATAAAAGTGCACCAACATGTTTACAGCAACCACAGATTCTAAAATTAAAATAGTATATTTATTTTTTAAAAGTGAAAATGCAGAAAAAAACATAAAAAAACAAACTTAATAATTAAAAATTTCAAATATTTTTATCAATATAAAAAGTTTCAAAATATTTGCAAAAAGTCTTACTTTAAACTAGGTATAAAATCGATAAATCAATTTTGAAATAATATTTAGGGATAAAATCGATAAATCGATTTTGAAATAATATTTATTTATCAATAAAATAAAGTTATTTATTCAGACTGACATAAAACCAAAAAACTAATAAAAAATTTATTTTAGCAAAAACATTACTTTAACATTTTTTTTTTAATTAACATACCCAGCTGCACAATCACGATCTGCAGATATTATTGTACCATGCTTTTTGTTAATCAATAACCAAACATAAACATTTACAACTTTGCAGATTTTATTGTACCATGCTTTTGGTTAATCAACACTCAAACATTATAAACAGGTTTATTGGTTTTTTGTTCAGGTAAACAATTAGCTGCAATGTAGCAATATTTAGATACCAAATATTGGAAAAATGGTCTGATTTAAATTAACTTTTGCAACCTCTAAAAGCTTTTTTAGCATTTCTTTTGTTTAAATTGAACTTCTGCATATGTTACGTCTGGGAATAGCGAAGGACCAATAACCCAACCATAAGTTAATGATTTTAAGTTTATAATTTATTTTGATGAAGTTTTTCTTTTATTGTACTTGTCATTTTTAAATTCATTCTCTTCATCATGAGCACTCTGCACTTGAACTTGCAAGTTCAGGCAATAAGCATAGTAGATATTCTTTGCAAAAGTTGCTTTATTGTCGATTTGATTAATTAATCTTTTTGATAAAAAGTTCTGTAGGTCAAATATTTTCCATATTGAAAAGCCATCTTCAGTCGTAGTGTCTGTAATTTGTTTGGAAGAACATTTTGCTTTTAAAACTAAAACTGAGTTTTCATTACTAGAACACAAATTTTCATCAAATTTATTTTCTTCTAAATTATTTGAATAATAAAGCAGAGACATGATTTGAAAAGAATTTTTTTTTTTAAGTGACGATATGTGTGTGCTTAATATGATTTACTTTTTTATTTTAATATTATTATTTATTATGAAAACTCTATACTTTTTGTGACTAAATGTTTGTGTGTGTATGAGTGTCGCACGTTTTCATTTGTGAATATTATTAAATAATTTTTGTTTTGTTAATTTACTATTATTTTTTGATGAAGTATTTATTTTACTTTTATTGTTTTTATTATGATATTGATATTGATATTATTATATTTATTAAATCATTGTTTTTTTTTTGTCAGTTCATAACTGTTTTTAAATTTCCTGTCTGTCCATTATATTCAATTGTTGTTTTAAAATTGATACTGGTTTATTAACATATAACTTTCTTATTATTCTTATAACTTTTATTTATCATCATTATTATTAACATTATTATTTGTATTGATATTGATATTATTATATTTATTAAATCATTGTTTTTTTTTGTCAGTTCATAACTGTTTGTAAATTTCCTGTCTGTACATTATATTCAATTGTTGTTTTAAAATTGATATTGG